AGGAGGGCGCCTGCCCCACGCTATACCGGGGCTCGGCACCCCAGCCTTCCACGCAGCCAGTGGGCACTAGGTACCGGGTGCTTCTTGCAGCTCACGGGATGGCTGGCAGCAGGCCCTGCGAATTGGCTGTTGCACTGCTCTGGCAGAACGGTGGTCAGGGCACGTGGAGCTCTGTGGTCACAGGGCGGGAGTGGGTGCCAAGGCAGAGGACATCCAGGGTGTGAGGATGAGGGCATTGTGTGGTGCCACCCAGCATGGCCCTGTGACGGGGCTGCGTGGGCTGCCAAGGAGGCAGCGTGACCTGGGCAGTGTGCGGGTGCAGGAGCGGGGCTGGCAAGTCTGTTCTGGGCCGCGGGCTATCGGTACCGACAAGCCAGCGCATTCACATTCTTCACCACATAGAAGCTCATGGTCAGCGGGGGGATGACCAGGGTACGGCCGGCCCGCAGAGGGCGAGGCTTCAACTCAGGGAGGGTCCCATCGTCCACCATGGCCAGTGGCTGCCCGTTGAGCTGGACCAACCTGTGGGACCAAGAGAGGGTCAGGGCAGTGACATTCAGGATGGGGCAGTTGTGGCAACCCCAGCCAGTGGCATCGCACTTACTTGGAGTGGAGCCCGTCCTTGCCGTAGGGCTGCAGCAGGTACTGGTGGACGATCTTATCCCGCAGCGTCCCTGCCAGCTTTATTTTCTTCCGGGAGCGATGCAGGTTGATGATGTAAAGGGTGATGGACCCCCGAACGTAGTTGTGGCTGCAAAGGGGAAAATGGGAGGTGAGGGCTGCATTGCCATGTGCCCTGGGAGCATTGCCTCCAAGGGGGTTGGGGATCTCTGCAAGAACTGGCCTCATGCAGCCATCCAGATGTCACCATCCCAGTTGCCCCTCCACAAGCAGATGCCACCTTTCCATCACAAAGCTTGGCTCTGTCATGACAGCTTTCAACCCCTGCTCCTCGGCCAAGGGTGACAAAACTTAAGAGGGCGCTACAGTGGTGTCCAGAGCAGGGGTGGTGGTCCCAGGACAGCCCCCCCAAACTTGCAAGGAGGAGGCTGAGAACGGAGAGGAACTCTGTGTGTGAGTGGTGTCTGCCCCCGCTACCCCAGGCACCTAACTGACGGGTCCAGACACTGCTCTTCTGTCCCTTCCTAATCAGGCAGCCCCAAACAAAGGCTATAAAGCACTTTGCACCTGTCAGTTACTGGACAAGGTTTCCTACCGAGTTGGAGGCATGTTGAAAGCATCTGGACTGTGTAAAGAAACAGTCTCTCCTCCTCCACAATAGCAACTTGTGTCCGCGGAGGAGGTGGCCGCCCCCCCCGGCTCGCTGGGGTGCTTTCAAAGACCTTATCAGCGAAACAATAACCAGGCCAGGCTCCCCGGCAGCGCGGCCCGGCGGGTAACCCGACCGACCGGGGGCCCCTCGTGTGTAATCCACTCCCTTGATCTCTGCTGCCCGGCCTGCCCGGCGGCCACTTCACCGGTCCCGGACGGCCCCGTTCCCAGGCACGGGCTTGCCACGACTTTCATCGGAGGCATCGCCATTCCTGTGCTCCTTCACTTTGACAGCAGCCAGAGCACCACCCAGGTGAATACCCTGGGAAGCCAAGCTGCCTTGCCAGGCTCCTGCCCCAGCGTGTCCTTGTCGGTCTCCATCTCCTGGGGGTACCGCTTATCCCACCCTGTAGCCCACAGTCTCCCTTGCTCCGCTTACTTGTGGTAGCTGGTGCAGTGGGCATAAATCCGGAGCTTGTCGCGAATGACCCTGCCGGGGCGGGGTTTCCTCTGCAGACCGGCCACGTGGATCGCCAGCACCTTGGGACCAATGAGGCGCTTGTAGAGCAGGGACAGCCAGTAATCCTGGGGGGCAGAGGGGACAGTCAGCAGCACAACAGTCCCCCAACTCACAGAGGGAGCTGGCAGGAGAGGCTGGCTTCCCTGCTTGCAGCCTAGCAAAATTTTGGCTGTTGGGATGAAAATGTTGTGTGCCAGATGTCTGCCTTGGGGTGAGCTTTTTTTTGTGCAGTCCAAACCATAATGGCATCGCTGTTTCCAAGAAAGAGATTAAGAGAGGAATACATGGATACCCTCTAAAGAAGCTCAGCTTTTGGCTGTGTTGCAGAGCATGGGGAGCAGCATGAGTGCCCTCGCACGTTCCCATGGACCCACATGTAGCCATGCTGTGGACCTGTGCACCAGCTCCAGCTGATCCACACAGGAGGGTGATGTCTCTGCAGCAGGCTCTTCCCCCACTCTCTACACAGAGCTGGAGCATAACAGCTTTTCATCTCTGTTAGTGGCACACTGGCTTTTGGGACTGCTGAGGGTGCTCAGCTTCCCAGAGGTATTTTTCACATTTTAAAGCCTCCCATGGAGCATGGAGAAGCCAAGCACTCAAGAAATAGGAAATGTTCAGACCCTACACACATGTGTAAATGATGCAGCCTTAATTACGTCACCACATACTACTTTTTCCCGCAGGGCATGGCCTTGCTCGGCACACAGGATGGACCCCAAGCCCTGGGGAGGGAGGTGAGGCTGTGTGGTGATGGAGGCTGCTGCCTGCAGGGCCCCCCACTCATCCGCTGCAGAGGCTGGGAGGTGTGTGATAAATGAAGCAGGGTTGTGGGAAGGGAAAGGGCAGGCTCAGGCGCTCCCCTGTTGTTCTGCAGGATGGGGCTCTGGCCCCACTGCTGATCCAGGCACACCAGGTGATGCTGGGGAGATGGAGCCTCTCACGCTGCTTCTCTGGGTGCTACCTGTGAGTGCTGAGGCACTATTACACACATGAGCACTTTGGATAAACCCCCTCTGTCCTAGAGGGACCATATATACCAGGGCAATTGGGATGATCTCCCCTCCCTGTTGGGGAGGCACCAGGCAAAAACCCACTGTCCAGATCGGACTGCCAGCTCCATCCTCTCTCCAGCCTAGCTCAGCAAAAGCTAAGCTGTTCCATCAGTGCTTGGCTGGCCTGGCAAAGGAAGATCCAAGCATACCTCCCACTTTCTATGTAAGCTTTTGCCACAATGCTTGAAGAAAAGCCACCTTCTGCTCTCCTCTTGCTGCTCTCAGTCAAAACCATGGGTCTTTGTGCTACACCAGCCTGGTAACTGCTTCCTCTACAAACTCTGGGCCCTGAAGTAGATGTGAGGTTGAAAGGAGAAGCCTGAGGAGGCTCAGCCACAAGGCCATAGCTCCTGGGGAGGATGAGCTGCAGTTGCTCAATGCCACATATATGTGCTGTCCATAAGGCATGTGCCACTGTCCTGACCCTGCTGGCTGGTGGGGCTGCTCTGCAGCCTGGGGATGTCCCTGCCTGCACCACGCTGCAGGGGCTCTGCCAGCCTTCCCCTGCTGTAGGAATCTGTGCTGGCCCATGCTGCCCAGGCTCATGGCAGACAGGAGAAACAGTGCCCGGCACTGCCAGCTCTCTGGTGAGACACTGATTAGTCGGCATCATTAGATGAGTAATTACTTGAATTTACAGCTAGACCAAAGGTGAGCACAGGCTGTAGTGTTTAGTCCCATGGTCATGAGTGAAAAATAAATTAGTTGGTGTCCTGACCTACTTGTCAGCTCAGGTTCTCAGGTCATTCTAGCAGCCCCCTCAGCATTTCCACTGATGAGATGCTGCTTTCACCCACAAGTTATGGGAGTGATAGAGGCCAGACGCTTGGTGTCTGCCCTCAGGATTTCCCTATGGGTCTTGAGTTGTTCTGCAGGGGGCTCTTGATGGTTTTGTCACCATGGGTAATTGGCACAGCAGCTCCAGCCTCCATCTGAGCACCTATCCCTCTGGGCTGTGTGGTCCCCAGTGGTTTGCTGCTTCGACATCAGCATCCCTCCACTCTCAAGGCTCAGCAGCAGCAAAGTTTGTAATGTGGGGGTACGGGGAGTTGCCCAGCCCCATAATCTGCCCCAGTTGTTGCCAAATCTCATATCTTAGCACACACTTATCCCAAGTGTGCTCTGACAAACCCTGCAGAGCCGGGGGTGTTGAGCCCTAGGCTCCTGCCTTGGTGGTCATGGGCAGGGCTGCACCATTCAGTGTCTCCTGGGCTGGGCACAAGGACAAATGCTTGTCTCTCTGGAAAGTGTTGGCTATGTTTTGTGAGCTTCTGATCCAGCTAAGAGTACACAGCTTTTCTGAGAAAAAACGTGCAGATGCTGTGAGATGGGTAAGGCAGTCATCAGTGATGCAGGGTGAGCTGTTCTGCAAAGTGTGAGATGATCACTGCTGAGCATGCAGCATTTTGGCACAGGCAATGCTCCAGTGTAGTGCAGGGACTGTCCTGTCCTTCCACCATCTGCAAGAGGTGAGGGGAGAGCAGTGATTTTATCTCGCCTTGCTGGCAAGACCAGCTCCAAAGTCTCAGTTTTAAGAAGGATGTGAAAATACCAAAGAGAGTTCAAAGGAGGGTGAGAAAAATGACCCGGGCCTGAAAAAGGAGTCATCAGCACCAGTCTCGAGGCACTTGAACTCTTCAGATCACTGCAGGGAAGCACTGAAGACAGCTGCATCTTTTTGCGTCATCACAAGTCCTCTTGTGTTGGGGGCCAAAATCACGTTACTTGCAATAAATTACCAGGACCTGGTGACACCAAGCACTTGGATGATAAATTACACACACATCTAGCATGATGGAAACAAACCTGCTGGGTGAAGGCACTTCCCCCATCTCGGCTGGTGCTCCAGGGCTGCTCCTTCCACTGGCCATGAATGAACTCCAGTCAATATCACACCAGGACTGCTGGGCACCTGCAGCTACTTGCTCCTGTTCAAATGGTGACCAGCTTGGGAAACAGTTGCTCTTGAAACCCAGCTTGGCTGCAAACAGGGTGATTTTTCTGCTTGTCAGTGACCTCTTCCTGGGCCCCTGACAGCAGCTGGCACCCACTCCTATGTGGCAAACCCTGCGCAAGCAACTTCCCCAGGCTGGCAGCACCCACATATCCCTTGCAAAGACACGTGCCTGCCTTCCAGTGTGGAGTCAGACATCCTGTCAGAGGCAGCCCAGGCAATGCCCAGGGAAATGAGTGGCTCCCGTGCAACTGCAGAAAGGATTTGTCTTTTGGAAGGCTCCCATTATGAGGGCTGAGCCAGCAATACAGCTTAGTGGTAGAGGAGGAATAGCAGACAGGAAGCTCCTTTGCTATTAGTCCCATGGGAATCAAGGGAGCTTTCTTGCTTTAATTACTTTGCAGACCCATTAAGCAGTGCTGCAGGTGAGGAGCACCTGAAGGCAGAGCCCTCCTGTGCCCCAAGAGGTCTCCCGTCCTGCCCCTCCTGATTCATGGGCAGGAGGGGCACTTGTCTCAAGTGAGCTCTCAAGTACAGAGGTCAGACCAGCCTCATCTTCTGAGCCCCATGGGGCCAGTGAAGACCTACAAGCTTTCCATTAGACAGGGAAAGCCCAGCGGCTCACACTTGATCTCTTTGCACACTTTACTTCATTGCAGGAGCTTTTGGAGACTTCAGCTTTTGGAAACAAGGCTGATTAGGCAGACCCTTAGGCAGAACTATTAACCAGACCCTCCCACCTCCAGAGCCATCAGGAGGACTGGAGGAGCGTATTCCCACTCTCTCCTAGAGGCAGCAAAGCAGCTTTACAGCCCACCTGAGTTTGTTCAGCTCTGCGCTCATCACGTGTGAGAAGGTGTTTCCATAATCAGAAAACCAGAGTAACAGAGCCGTGGCCCTTCAATCCGCTGGGGGCTGTAACTAGCAAAGGCAGCTGAACTTCAAAGGAGCAAGTTGTGACCCTGTGGTGTACGGCCTCCTCTGGCTGGGGCTGTCGGTGCATGGCTGTATCTCCCTAAGTCACCAGCAGCATCAGCTGCTTAATCTATTCCTCTTCCTCTTGCTTCTTCCATCTTCTGAAGCTGCCCAAGCTCTTCCTCTGTGCCTTGGGCACACTCCAGTTTCAACAGCCTGTGACAGATTGCTCTATTCCTGCACCTTCACCTCCATTTTTCCACAGTCCAAGCAACTGGAAATAAGGGCTGGCTGGTCTGAACATCACAGGAGAGAGCTTTGTTCTTTTATCACTCTGTTGAGCTCAATGTCTTGTTTTTGGCAAAAGCATCTTCCAGAAAATGGTGACTGTGGTTGTGAGGATTTGGAGAGATGGAGAAGCTGCCATTTCCCAGGGAGTCTGTTTCAGGGGTTAAACATCCGCATTATTAATAATCCCACTCCTTATTTTAGGCTTGAATTTGTCTGGCTTCAGCTTCCAACCAGTGGTTCTTGTTCTCTCTTTTTCCAGTACATTAAAGAGAACCTCAGCATCCAAATCTTTCTCCCTGTGGAGTTCCCTACATCCTGTTTGAGCCATAGCAAGTTGCTCCTTCAGCATGGCTGGACTGACGCTGCTTTTAACATTATCCCTGAGTTTTATGTGCTTCTTGGACTGTGGGAGTTCAAGGTTTTCTCACCCAAACCCTGTGCAAGGTCCTGTGACAAGCAGAGGAGGACAGAGCCTCACCCCAAAGGGAACATTTGCTGAAGTCAAAATCATCAGCTTCAGACACTGATGCTCCCCTCATGAGGGATAGGCAAACATGTAACGAGTGATGCTTTTAGCTCCAATTTGCGGGTTGCCATGGTTAGTGCAATCTACTGCCCAAAACGACCAGCTTCAGTGACATGTAGGCACTTTGTGTTCAAGCCAGGATTTGAAGCAAGAGCCACAGGGTGCTGAGCTCTTGCCTTGACTTCAGCTCCTGCTTTGCAATAAGTTCCGAAGCACAGCGTGCAGGGACAGACAGGAGAGTCCCTCTCATCCGAAATAACCTGGTAATGTATGTGCAGTCATGTGCTCGGAAGCAGAGTTCTCAGCCACTGGTGCCAACAGCAC